AAGGGGCATATATAGTCAACTATTTGATTTAACGGGCATGGTAATAACTATTCAAATTGAAGAGACATGAAATTATAAATTGGAAAACCCATGTTGAAAAAAAATAAAACAAATATAACATCCCTTTTTCTTTGTTTCTTAATATTTACATCATTTTAACCAAACATGTTTGTCAACACACTGTATAGCCCACCGATATCTTTAATTGCGCTTTAGTACAATTTATTAAAAAATATATTTTGAAAATATATGTAGAGATTGACTCGGCAACAATAAGGGATCATTCTGTATCAATACGACAGTATTGTAGTTTTCAGTTTTTTGGTATTTTGTTTTTTAAAGTCATATGATGCATGTCATATGAAAAATTAATAATTATTCATAGTCACTAAAATCAAGATTATATATAAAACTGATAATAGAAAATTGAAAAACGCTTTTTCGATAATTTTTTTTGTTTTCAAAAAACAAAAAAACTAAAAATAATAAACGATCACGAACAAGCCCTAAGCATAAGAATTTTATTTATATGCCTCCTTCTCTTAATAAATGCATCTGTTTGACTTTTTACATTATTTTTTAGCTTACTTTGATTATTTATTAGTATATATTATGAAAGATTGAAATTTTGATAATACCAAGGAGGCTAACGCCTGCGATGCGCACGCCATATCTAGCCATATATATTAGAAGAGCTTTTTTTGGTTTGGCCTTATGTCATAAGTTTAGTTGTTGCCAGCATTAATAAGGGAATATACATAAACAAATATTTTTAGCATTTAAATGTTCACACACAATTCTTGAAAGTTAAAAAAAAAAATAAAGAGGCAATTAACATTAATGAGGGCATGTGCAAATAAGAAAATAAACATAACAAGAAGCATAATTATCTTAACACTATTCATAGAAAATAGAACAAATATATTTAAAGGTAGATATGTAAATAAATATTTTAAGGGGCATAATTGTCTCAACGAACACTATTCATAAAAATGAAGTATTCCCTTCGTATTTTATTACTTGTTTTACTTTCCTTTTGCAGCCGTATTTCATTACTTGCGATGCTCCATTTCCTTTTTTTTGAAACCTTTCACAATATTTTTTACTAATTTCTTCTCTCCTAGTGGGTCCTCTAACTATCATTCTTTAATATTTCCATATTCTCTCTTCTCCTAACTATCATACTTTATTCTTCTACCAACTCCACTTTTTTCATATTTTATTAATTTATACCAATTCTCTTAAAACTCCGCATATGGAGAAATGGAGTAAGTAATAAAATACGGAGGGAGTAAATATAATATAAGGGTAAATATGTAAATAAACATTTTAATGGACATAATTGTCTCAATACTATTCATAAGTATTTAGTCATAATTCTCAAAAGGCAGAGATACATCAAAATTGACCCAATAAGAATTTAAATAATAACATTAATCATTATATATTAGTTAATAAAATTGTCAAAGTTAGAATATAATAGTATAAAAAGTTAAAGTTAGTTTAATAAAAATGTAAAAAGAGAAAATGATGCAATTACTAAGAAATAGAGGAAGTAATTCATACTCCATCTTTTTTTTTTCCAGTGCATCGCTTTGACTATCATGAAGGTTTAGGAGATGGAGCTGACTAGAATAAAATATTGGGTAAGTGGCTAGAGTTTGTTGGGCAATAGTTTATAGAAAAGTAAGGGATCTGAAAGGAGAGAAATAATAATTAAAAAAAAATTAAAAATGGGGTTTATGTGAGGAGAGATAAACCATAAAAGTAAAGAAAAGATGTCTAAAAAAAAAAAAAGGAAATGATGCACTTTGAAAAAAAAGGCTGAAAATGGGTAATGATGCAAAACGCCAGCTGAAAATGGATAATGATGCACTTAAAAAACGGAGGGAGTATATAGATATAGATGAGAGATGTTAGCCTAATAACTACAACCCTACCGTTTAAAAAGTTGAGATAACTCTTATGAATAGTGTTTGGACATTTATACCCTCTAAAATGTTTATTTACTTAATTATTCTCATTAATATTAATTGCCTCTTTTTTGAACTCTTAAAAATAGTGTACGGATAATATTTTTATCCCTAAAAATATTTGTTTATATATTTTCCCTCAATCAATAATGCATTCAATAACAAATATTAGAGAATATTATTGTCCAAACACTATTAATAATAGTTCTCTAACTTTTTAAAAGGTAGAAATACAAACAATTGCTTTCATTTACTAGTGTGTACATGTATATACTACTGCAAAACTTTGACTAATATTTTTTTTTAAAAAGCACTAATAAATTTATAGAAAGTTAATAATTTGAATATATACATATGAATGCCAACTAGTCTTGTAAGTTGAAAAGTTAGAGTGCATGGTACTTTACACATGAGGTCAAATTTTTTTTTCAATCCTAACCAAAACAACCCAAATTTTGTTAAACCAATAATTATGAGATTTATGACCCATGCCTAATAATGAACTGCCCCATTTCAATCTATAATCCATTAAACCTGAATGGTATACAACTTGTGACTCATTTAACTTAAACCATTTACAATTGAAAACCATTTAAACCCAAGAAAAACCTAAACAACCCGATATATTTCAACTTGTAACTCGTTATACGTAAATTGTTTACTCGTACAACTTATGACCTATTTAACTGAAATCGTTTATAATCTACAATTGTTTTAACCTAAAGAAAACTCAAATAAATACTTTTACCAATAACAAAATAAACAAAAATAACATAGAGTTATAAACAAGTTATTATCGAGTAGTAAACAAGATGTTTGTGGACAATAATAAGTTGAAACGAAATTGTTCATGTGAAGCTTATTTAGTAATAAACAGGCCTTAACAATGTGTTCAAGTTTGTTCAATTTCTAAATGTACAATTGTTTTTTAAGCTTATTCACACGTGTTCCCAAACATATTTCAACTCATTTCCACCCCCACCATTACTAGATTAACCAAAATCATTTAAAACCTGATTCGAGTATAACACGACCCAATATGAATGTGAACACGCTTTAACACATAAAACTGTTTTCAACCTGAAGTGTTTCAACTAGAATTGAAAGTGATTCACTTCGGTTACAATTTGACCTATTTATGACCTAATTTGATATGAACCCAAACTGTTTTAACGTGGCTTAACCTATCTCCAAGATAATCTAACATGTATCAATTGAAAGCGGACATAACCTGCATATATTGATTACAACTAGCCTCGGTTATGACCGAATTCGATTTGAAATCACATGAATAACAACCGAACCAATCAACTCGCTAACTTTTAGAATTAACTCGCCAATAAAATAATTTGGTTATAATTTGACTTGATTTGTCTCCAACCCAATCAAACATGTATCAATTGAAATCGGATATAGCCTTCCCTAATTACAACTAGCCCTAGTTATGACTTAATCCAATTTAAAATCATATTAATAATAACCGAACCAATCGACTTGCTAACTTTTAGAATCAACCCACTTATAAAATTAAGGCTTTTTTCACCAAGTACTCCTGAGTTTTAACTTAATTTACCAAATACCCAAGAAATTATTCAAACTCACCATATACCATTCAGTTTCACGAAAATGTCACTACATTCCCTTAATGACTAATGACGTTAACTCCGTTAGTCATTAAAATTATTGTGCCATGTGGCAGTCATTAATTGGTTTTTATTAATATTATTTCATTAATTATCTAAATAATTAATTAAAAAATTATTTTTTTAAAAAAAACCACCAACCTATCCACCGCCGCCCCAAGCCCATCCCTGACCCCTACCCTGAATGGCTAGAGCCTATCCCCCTACCCCGTTGGTGACAACCCCCACCCATCTCTTTTTCCCCTAAATACCCCCTACCCGATTTCCCAAACCCTAACGCCACCCTCCAACCATTTCCCCTACCCCGAAAATGGCCCTCCCTCCCCAAAACAACCCCCTCCCCTTTTCGCCAGCCCCTGAAACCATACCACCCGAAACCACTCTAAAACCAAACCGGTTTTTTCTCAGCGGTTTCGGGTGGGGTTTTGGGTTTTGGGGCCGGCGAATAGGGGGTCGTTCCAGGAAGGGAGGGTTGTTTTCGAGGTGGGAAAAATGGGAGGAGGTTGGCGTCGGGGTGGGGGAAATTGGGGAGGGGGTGTCAGGGGAAAGGAGAGGGCTGGGGTAGGGGTTGTCGTTGGCGAGGGAGGGAGGATGGGCGCTGGCCAGCCGGGAAGTAAGCCAGGCGTTGGCCAACCAGGGTGGGGGTCAGGCTGGGCTGGGGGCGGCGGTGGCTGGGTTGGTGGTTTTTTGTTTTAATTTTTTTAAATATTTTTTTAAAGTTAATTAATTAAACAAATAATAATAATAAGAACCAAATACTAGTTGTCACATGGCACAATTAACGTCAATGACTAATAGGGTTAACGGAAAAGGCATGTGGTGACATTTTTGTGAAACTTATGGTTATATGGTGAATTTGAAATATTTGGTGAATAAAATTAAAACTCAGGGGTATTTGATGAAAAAAACTGTAAAATATAATGAACCTAACTAATCCAACTTAAATTATAATCGCGCTTCACCTGACCCAAGACCAAACCATCAACTCACCCGGGTTCATAGTGCTAAGTCCTGTACATACTTGTATGTCGTATCAAACCATGCATAAAACTCAAGTTGTTCAAGCAACGTTCACTTTTTTTTTTTTTTTTCGTATGAAAAAACCACACATACTCCATACACTAATAACTACCACTATCATGATTGTCCTACATACTATACGTTGCTTTTAAAACCCATTTAATTTCTGTTATCCTTTTCCCCTTCAAAGTGTATAACCACCAAAAAGAGATACACTTTATGACTTTTCCTAACTCCCTAATACACGAATGGGTGTAATATTCCATGGTATCAAAAATTTTACCCATTAATTTTTATTTTTTTAGTTTTGTTTTTTTTTCATCTTAAATTAGGCCATTAATTTCTATAAATACCCCCTTACTCCTCCTCCAAATTTCCCACCTCTAAACATAAACACAAAGAGTTTTTGCTCTTGTTGAAAACCAAAAAACAAGTTTTTTTTTTAATTCCTCTATTCTATTTCCCATGGGTTCCCAAACTCCAATGGTTGATATCATGGTGGTTTTCGATTTCGATAAAACCATTGTTGATTGTGATACTGATAATTGGGTTATAGATAATCTTGGTTTCACTGAAATGTTCGAAAAGCTTCTTCCTACCATGCCTTGGAATCCTCTTATGGTCTCTTTTTTTTTCTCTGTTTCATCTGTTTTTTTCTCTGTTTTTATTATGATATTTATTTATTTATATATTTATTTATTATAATGCAGAAATAAATACTCACTTTTTAACTCAAAATTTCCTTGCTATAATTAAAATTGAAAAAAATGCACTAATAGAAAAAAATATGGACTTTCCTATACAACTGATGCAGTACATGTTGCATTATTGGAGATTTATTATGGACTATAAACTTGTGAAAATTAAAATGGAAAACTATAAAAATGCTACTATTTCTAATGAAAACAGGCATTAAATTCTAGTCAAAAAATCGAAAAAACACACATTTTTTTTTACTAATCAATATGGAAGAACTAACAAGCTTTAATTACTTCTCAAAAATGTTAAAAAGATAATAAGCTTACTAATTATATTACTGAAAAATTGGATTTGTGAATGACAGGATTTGATGATGAAGACGATGCATGAGAAAGGAGTGACAAAGGATGATATAGTAGAGGTCTTAAACAGAACTCCTATGCATGATCGTATCATTCCCGCCATTAAATCTGCTTATGATGCTGGGTATTTTTCTTGCTTTTTTTTCTCTATTAATGGATGATTGGTCACAAATCATTTAGAACATGATATTTTCATTCATTTTTTTTACTGTTTTTTTTCATGTTTACCGAGTACGGAGTAAATTTTATGATGTATAAAGATAAGTAACATCAGTAAGTTAATTTACACAAATTGTGTTGTCGTAAAATTTATTTTATTTTATGATCCCTCTACTTGCAGCTTTCGACTACAAAATTTATGTGCAGAAATAAGGAAAATAATTAATACGGATTGTAGCGCGTTTTGTAGTGTCATGGCATGGGGAACCTTTTTTATGAATTATTTTATGAGCTTTAAAGGTTGTGACAAATTAGAATAAGGGGAATACATTTCATAATACATGAGCTCAAATTGTGCCACAAAAAACCTACTGAGTATTTGGCTAAATTAACCTTTTTTCACAATGTATTGTGATAGTCAATAAAATTGTAATTTGTATCACTTAGATACAGTAATAAAAAATTCCAAGAAACTCAATCAAATAAATATATACACTATCATCTAGCTCTTGCTTTAAAACAATTACTATACTTTAAACATATTGAAATGAAATATTTATTGGGATTAAACTCTCTATTTGATGATTAAAAACAAGATGTATCATATATTAATGCGAAATAAATTTGTTTAATTCAAAAATTCCATACAAAATACACGATGTTTTTTTGTATGTGGCGTCACAAATTATAATAATTATGTGCCAAAAAAAAATTATAATAATTCACCCATTTGATAAGTTAAAGTTGCTTTATAAAAAGATGTGGTAAATTGAAATCGCTCCAAAATATGAAAAGAAGAATGGAAATGATAAACCTTGGAATGAAAGTTAGGGTTATAAAAAAATTTATATAGTGCGAGTTTAATCGTTAGGCTCCTTAAATTTTTGAGGTTGAGAATTTCTGCCTTTAAAATCTATTGATTTAAACCAGAATTTTTCTTCGCAGTTGGGATCCCACACTTCCTTCTAACTGTCTTTTTAATAAAATAATTTTTGTAAGGAAAAAAAAACGCAAAATCAAAGATTCTTCTCAAGGTTACACCTTACTACCTTAGTACTTGTCTAGTTGTCTTCCCAACTTTAAAGGAAGCTTGAAACAATGAAAATAAATAATTTTTAAAAATTATTATTTTAAAGTTATTGTCAGTCACACCCTTATATATTCAAATTCATATTCATATGCACTACAATATATAAATTATTTTTTTTTTGTACGGTAACAATTCATCTACCAAGACCCTATTCGATTTATAAATATACTCAGTGATTAGTTTTTTTTATATAAAACTAAATTTTACCCACTAAAATTGATGTTTACTAATTAATTATATTCTATTTTTGTACCAACTTAACTTGTTTTAAAGATTTTTTTTTTAACTTGTCCTTCAAAATTATTAATTATAATTGACTAAAACTTTTAATGAACTTCATTTATTTTTACCAATTAAAATTGGTTTTTGGAACTTAAATTATATTTACTTATTAAAATTGATTTTTGAAACTTTAATTATTTATATTTATGATGAAAACTTAATTTTACTAATTAAAACTAATCATTACTAACTTAAACATGTTTATAGTGATTTTCTTTGTAACTTGTCGTTTAGAGTTACGGAATACTAATATAATACCGACTAAAATTGATTACTGCATTTAAATTATTTTTACTGATTAAAATGATTTTTGTAGAATATTATTTTTGCTAGGAAAATCAAAGTTGCAATCTTTTTTATAGAAGAATATTATAAGTGAATTGACTTATATTTGTGTGGGACTATGATTGTCAGGTGTGATTTGAGGATCCTTAGTGATGCAAACAGGTTCTTTATAGAAACAATATTGGATCATCATGGTATCAAGAATTATTTTACTGAGATTCACACTAATCCTGGTTATGTGGATGAAAATGGAAGAGTTAGAATATTTCCTCACCATGATTTCACTACTGCTCCTCATAACTGCGACAACATTCTTTGCCCTCCTAACATGTGTAAGGTATATATTTTCTTACATAGTAATATAGTCAAATTTTTTTTCAATTTTATTCATGTACTGTACTTTAATTAGGATAAGATTTATTTATTTTGACATGTGTTTCACAGTGGAGAATGTAAAATAAGATTACCCTTATGCCTGGATTTTATATTCAAGATTCTAACCTTGAAAATAACAAACAAATACTACCTTTGATGTCTAGTTTATTTAGGGTTTATTTTGACAACTTTGTTCACACATACACACACATTTGGCCGTTATCTATGGTTTAAATGTAAATAAAATCATAACCATGTGTGATTTTGTAATATTCATCTCAATTCCCGTTAAAAATAAATATTCATCTCAATATCTACTTCTAATACGAATCTGTCTCTAAAATTTCTCTTATTTCGAGATTTTTTTATAAGACAATTCTGAATAGAAAAAAATTTAGTGATGAAACTAAATTTTTATATTTTATACAAATAAAAAAATTTATTGGACAAAGTTATATTTTGACTAACAAATTGAGTATTTAATTTGATTTAATGAGGCACAAGGAAAAAGCGTTGATTAATTTGGACTTTGCAAAGAAAAAAAAAATCTATAATAGCAAAAAGATTAATTAATTTGAGGAAAGAAAAATACTTTAAAAGAAAATTACTCATTTAGAAAATGATAAATAAATAAATAAAAATTAACCATAAAAATCTGTACTATGTAGAGATAAAAATGTGTAAGAAGTAATCAGATGAATTGGGCCTAAGCCCTATGTAGTCGACTATGAGAGGAAGAGAAGGACGGCCCCATCCACATTCTCCTGACTCCTTTCACATTTTAGACCATCATGTGCTCTAGTCTTAGAGGGCCAACCCCTTTTAAAAGTACTTTTGTTTTGTTCTTGTACTAAATTAACATTTTTAGATTATATGAAAACAAACAAATAATAAATATAATTATATAATTACAAATCAATTTCCTAGAGAAATTTTTGGCCTCATAAAAAAAAATAATAAAATAAAATAAATTTGGGGTAATAATTAAAGGTTTGGCCTCGGTATTATGAGAAAGGTAAAATCAAATATAGTCGAAATAGGCTTGTTTATAATCGTTTTTTTTTAAAACAAGAAATCAAAGAAAGTAGATTCCACTTTTCTGTTCTCAGTTTTCAAAATTATCATGATTTTAATAAGTTTGACTACTTTTTGATTCATTATATGACATATATCAGATGACTTTAAAAACCAAAAAATAGAAAATCACATTGATGTCAAACAGACCCAAAAGCTTTTAAAACTATAATCAATGAAGAATTATTAGTGTTGTTGATTTTGTAGTCCATACCAATATACCATATATATATGATAATTGATATTCTTATATGATTATGTTATTTGTGTATTAAATTCATCCACGATCACATAAAACAAATGTGTTACTTTATAAATATGAGGCATAAATAATATTTGTGTCTAAGTAATAAAACTAAAGAATAGTAGAATCAATGAAGGTAGACAAAATATGTCACTATCAAAATAAGCTAGGTTACAAAGGGTATGAAAGATATTTCCAAAAAAAATGGAAAGGTACATTAATCATTTTTTTTCATCATTTAGTGGAAGAAATAATTTATCTTCTTTTAATTTTCTTTCTAAATCCACTAATAATTTGATTTCTTCTACTAAACAACAGGGTGTAGTGATGGAAAAGCTATTAGCTAATGAAGGGGACAACACATTCATCTATTTAGGTGATGGAAATGGAGATCATTGTCCTAGCTTAAAGCTAAGAGAAGGTGATTGTTGCATGCCTAGGAAGAACTACCCACTTTGGGGTGTAATTTCAAGTAACCCAAAGCTCATCAATGCTAAGATCCATGGATGGTCCGACGGGGGCGATCTCGAACGTGTCCTGCTCTCCCTCATCCATGACTTGTTATCTAATAAGCAAGAGAAGAAAGGTGGGCATCAAAGCTTGGCTAAGGTTGATTTCAAGCTTAAGAATAACGTGCCAAGGCCTTCACGTGAAGTTCTACCGCCAGCACTTTCAGTGTCTCAGTAGTAACGACATTGATTAATAAAACACCCTCCGGCCTCCGTTGGAATTTAGTTGTCACGTGTTATTTTATATTATGTTATCATCTGATAATTATTTTTAGACAGAGGAGATATCTAGATATAGTATCGATCGTGGTTACCATTACCCCATCAAAATTATATTTGAAAAAAAAAATGGTGATTCAAACCCACATAGCCTGCCTTCATATGTTACGAGACTATGAGTGAGCTTAGGATGTGGTCGTATGAAGTATATATAAGCTTTGAGTTTGAGCTAGTTTATTTTAGCCAAATTAAGCTAAATTAGGCATCATAATAGTGTGTACTTTGTTGTAATGATGTAATCTCAATAAGAAGTAAAGGCAAAATAGCCATTTCTTTTTTACATAATGTGAGTGCTTCTTCCTTTATTATCTAATCATTTAACACGAGTGGGTCATTGTATTATTATACCAATTATGACCTAAGACAATTGACACTTCAAAGAAAATTTTAAGTAAAAATTAATAAATTCAATATTTGAATTTGTTTAAGCTAAATTTATTTTGAACCATACTTAGCTTCAAATTCTCCAACTCCATTATTTAAATTAATCATCGTTACTGCATATGCCTTGGGAAAAAAAAATTCCAAGTGATAAAATACCCTAAAATTTTGGCTAGCTAGATACCAAGGTACATATCAAATGAAAAATACCCTAAAAAAACAAATTAAAGATGTTGGAGATAAAAGGTTAATGTGGTAAGTGGATGATGAGAGAAATATATAAAATAAAATAAAAAAGTTATAGAGAGATTTGATAAAGTTAAGAAACAATGATTAGAAAAGCATAAATTGTACGTGGAGTAAGAATGGTTAAATAGATTTGAAATTTGAAAAATACCACCACATAACATACTCATTTTAGTAATTACTACTAAGAGTGTTTTTTTTGTTTTTTTTCTAAATTTTACCACCAACAATTCTTAAAAGCCTCAAATATCACCACCTCTTTAGCCAAACCCTCTATAGTGACGTCACCCTCTTCAATTTCCCTCCATTTCTCCATCTCTTCTCAGCCTTCTTTTCTTCTTCTCTTCTTGAACCTTCATTACTATGCTCACCCACCAAAAGTATTCCCCCGAACAGATACATTCTTCCTTGTTTTCTCTCTCTCCTCTTTCCTTCTCAAAATTGAGTATTCATCATTGTTGTCTGAAAAGGAGCTCAAGGGGGGGGGGGGGGAGGGCAACAACGAAGCACAACTACAACATTGGAGGGGGATTAGGCTTTGGATATTGTTTTGAAATTCAACAAGAAACAATCACATTTTTAGGTAAATGGTAAAAAAAAAAAAAAAAAAAAAACACACAAATTGCAACCTTAATTTGTTCCTAATTAGCATATAAACCCTAATTTCAATTCAAAAACCCCCAACTTGATTTCATATAAACCCTAATTTCAATTCAAAAACCCCAAATTGATTTCAAACCCTAATTCTAATGCAAAAACCCCCAAATTGATTTCAAAAACCCTAGTTAAACATACCATTTTGATAAGATGATTATGCACTTAGTATTGCATTGTTGTTTGCTGGAGTAGCGAATTAAAACCATAATTACCTCATTGATTGCATATTTTTTTGCGAAATTGAGAAGAAAGATGAAGAAGAAGGAAGAACAGAGGTGAGAATCGAGAGAGGAGAGAGGGAAATAGAGGAGGAAGATAGTTAATAGGGCCCACATGACGTCACTATAGAGGGTTTGGGCAAAGAGGTGGTGAATTTTGATGTTTTTAAGAATTGTTTGTGGTAAAGTTAAAAAAAAAAAAAAAAAAAAAAAACTCTTAGTAGTATACTAAAATGAGTATAATAGGTGGTGGTATTCTTCAAATTTTCCTAAAAATTAAAATTAAATATTTAAAACCTTCTAAAATGAACAAAAATACAAAGTGATATGGTAGAACTTACATAGATGAAAGTAATATAAGATGAATAATTACATGGTTCATTAAATCATTTCCATCTTCAAAATATTAGTTAACTAGCTTAAATCCCGTGCCACGCACGATTTTTACAAATTATGTAATGAAAAATGTTAATCTATTTTACGTAATTTTTAACTTGCCCAAAAAAAAAATTAAGCAGAAAAAAAACTTCAATTTAAATAAATTTGTTCCCATAACAAAGACTTTAATTTATTAATGCATTAGACTTTATACAAAAAAAAAATAATTAAAAAAAATAGGGATTATGAGGTTAATACTTGTACGATATACTCACATATCTTTTTATCCCTAATTTTTATTGACACCCATTGCCTGATAAAACATTTAATACAAATTAATTAATTTTTTATATTACTTAGTTATAATTATAATCAATCGTTTTAATTAATAGTTACCGAATGTTATAGATCTATTATAATGGAATGAATATTTGACAAAAAAAAAAAAAAAAAAAAAAAAGTCAAAACACATGTAATTTCTGATTCACTTTTAGTGTAGACAAATTGAAGATTTGAAGGAATAACATATGATGTATTTTCATATTTAAAGATATGACATAATATATAATATATGAAATATGAAATAATAGGTATTGAAAATATTTTATATAAGAATATGAAAATTCTGAAATATTTCTATAATATAAATGGCATGAATCATTTTTATTATATGAAAAATATGTTGTTCAAATAGGAAGGTTATATTATAATACTATGACGAAAAAAAGGAAGAAAAAAGGGTTTTGGAGGGAAAAACCAGCACCAGAAACTGACACGTGTCATTCCTAGTGTATGTTTTAGTATTATGTTATTGATTAAAAAAAATGGACAAAATGATATATTATTATATTCCTTGCTTTTAATAACATATTGTGTTGTACAGCGTGCGGTTGGCCACTTTATGTGGCCGGTTGTAAAAACAAAGCAATCTCTATAATATTGACCGAGTAGCACCTGTAATACTGATCAAGTAACCCCTATAACACTAACAAAGTAACCCCTGTAACACTGACCGAGTAACCCCTATAGCACTAACGAAGTAACCCCCGACCTATTATAGCTGGCCACACAGCGTGACCAGCCACATATAAGAATTTGTGTTGTACAGTTACACTACTTTGTAAAGAAGAAACTAAGCTTTGCCCAAAAAAAAAAAAAAAAAAACCCTAAGACAAATGTACATCATGCAAGTGAGGCACAGTCATGCAGGATTATATCCCTTTCTCTTGATTCTTGTATCACCAATAATATTCTGATCTCCTCAAGTAAGATTGCCAATCATCAAGAAAGTCCAACTTGGAAAAATTGAAGGACAACCTTGTGCTCCTAAGGTGTTCGAGGGGATGTCGGCAAGTAGCAATTGTGTTTAAACACAAGTAGCACAAAATTCATGAACTAGGATTTAAAGAACAAAGTGAAATCTATCTCAATGTTTTAGTATGGGCAAGAAACACAAGTTGGGAGCAATGTAAAGAGTCATCACCTAGATGTGTGAATATGGGTCGGATCAGATTGATTTTGGACTAACTCACAATGATTCAATAGTTTTCAATTCATATTAAAACAAGTCAATTTAACCCCACTAGATTAGGTCAGCTCAAGTCGAGTAATCATCGGGTCAGAAAAGTTGATTATTGGGTCACGATTACTAGCAAGTTGGGTTGACGATATAGGTTACATTGTTTTCTAACCAACTAGTTGGATCTGGTTAAAATTGTTATCATATTAGTCATATACTTGTCAGGTTGTTAACGAGTGAGGTCTCCCTTGGGTTATGTTCATTACAGATCAGCCGTATTTGATTGAGTCGTGTGCAAATCATTTTGGGTTTAGATTACCCGGTCTAGTTTACATTGGGTTGACTTAATGGGTAAACTAACCACCTACCGTATGATTAAGTTGGTAAAATTGGCTTATTGAGCTATGGGCTGCCAAAATTCAAGTTCAATAATGTAAACTTGTAGTACTATAATACTCCATAGTTGTAAGGGCTAAGTCGGGCGAGTAAATGCAGGGTTGAATAGGTGAATATGACTTTAAATCCACCACATACCTGCTATCCATGGAGATTACTTTCATACCCATACCCGTCAAAGTTGTACCCATACATGTCGCGGGGGTGAAACCTGCATTTTTGTACCCATGTGTAAGTGTGTAACTTGAGATTGATTATATCCCACTTCAAGGCTTCCTTTTTCTTTTTTTTTTCTTCTTTCATTTGCATCATTATATATTGTCTTACTGGATGTAAGCCCGTGCATTGCAGGGTTTTTTATATACATAAATCTCAAGAAATGATAATTTTGTTATTTAAATCATATAATATTTTAATTATATTACTATAATATATTAAAAAAATAATTTTTATGTAATTTTTAATATGTGACTTTATCGGTTGATCATAAGAAATGATAATTTTCGTAGTTAAACCATATAATTTTATAAAAGATAATTTTTATTATTTTATGTAATTTATAATGTGACCTTATCGGTTGCACTAATTTTTATATGTGGTCGGGGTCACTTATACAGGGGTTACTTATTCTGGAGTTACTTATTCAGGGGTTACTCGGTCGACCAGGGCTTACTCGGCCAGGGGTTACTCAGTCGATCAGGGGTAACTTAATTGGTCAGGGGTTACTTGGTCGACCAAAGGTTACTCCCACACAGAAAACACGCTAGCCGAATGAGTAACCCTAGAATAAGCAACCCTTGACCGACTGAGTAACCCCAAAATAAGTAACCCTTGAATAAGTAACCTTGGCTTAAATGCGCTAACCGACTGAGTAACTCCAGGATAAGTAATCCTTGACCGACTGAGTAACCCCTAAATAAGTAACTCATAAATTAGTAACCCAGGCACATGGTGTGGCCAGCCACTCATAAAAAGCACCGTATCGATTGACGTTAGTTAAATTATGTGGCAATTGACTCTATTGAATTTTTTTAATTCTAAAATAAAATGTAAACCTCTTTTTGTTGGGTTTTGCGGTGTACGACATTGCGCGGAAACAAAACCCGATAAGCGGATCGCATGCATAATAATTACAATATAAATAAAAGCATGCAAATAAACATAAACATAAGAGAAGAGAGAGAAAGAATGCTCACCCTTGTAGCGTGCTTCGCTCAACTGTTGAGCTCGGACTTGAAAGCTTCAAGTTTTGCAAGTGCAAGAACCTCCAACGGCTCACACCCTCGCTACCGAACTGTAACCGGTCCCTTTCCCGAAGCTTAGTCGGGGCTAGACCAAAAAAAACTTAGAGTTTACAAACAAAGGTTTTCTCGCTTTTGGAGATCCCTTAGAGTTCACCAACTCAAGTGAATTTCCCAATGCCCAATGATGGGTATTTATAGGGAAATGTCCCCCAAGAATTCCCATCATCTTTCAATGTGGAAT